GAGAGAGTGAGGACATGAACGTCAGGCAATACTTAAATTTAATTCTAGCAGTGTTTAAGGAATATCCAAATTATTTTACTTCCTTTAATTTTTGTTTGCAAATAACTGCCAATATCATCAGAATGTTTTTTTTGTTGTTGTTGTTTTTTTTTCGCGCGAAAAGCATCGAGCTACTTGACCTCATCCTTCAAATTCAAATTGTTATCATTATTTTGCGCTTAAAATGTATACATGTACTGATAATTGACTATACATGTAGGACATACTTTCATTGATTTGTTTAAATATTTTTTCACAAGACACACTATTGAAAAAGTGTAATCGAAGTATACGTGGCTGCGAAAATGATTAAAATAAATAAATAAATAAATAAATAAAAGAAAAGAATTAATAAATCACTACAAAATATTAGCAGAGCGAGATTTCGATCCTCGGACCTCTGGGTTATGGGCCAAGCACGCTTCCACAGCGCCACTCTTGTATGTGCGTGCAACTCTTGTTTATTGTTTCTCGTATGCTAATTATTTCTTGTATTAAAAATGAAATTGATTTCAAAATATTCTTCACGCAGGTTCAAACTCAAACCGTGCGCTGACACATTTGTATGATAAAATTCCACTAGTCCAACTTACGAATTCAACATAATAAAAATATTAGCAGAGCGAGGTTTCGCTCCTCGGACCTCTGGGTTATGGGCCCAGCACGATTCCACTGCGCCACTCTGCTTGTATGTGCGTGCAACTCTTGTTTATTGTTTCTCGTATGCTAATTATATCTTGAATTAAATATGAAATTGATTTCAAAATATTCTTTACGCGGGTTCAAACTTAAACCGTGCGCTGACACATTTGTATGATAAAATTCCACTGGTCTAACTAACTAATTAAACAGAATAAAAATATTAGCAGAGCGAGGTTTCGATCCTCGGACCTCTGGGTTATGGGCCCAGCACGCTTCCACTGCGCCACTCTGCTTGTATGCGCTTGCCACTCCTGTTGATTGTTTCTTTTATGGTTATTTTTTTCATTTAAACATGTACAAAAAGAAAATTGATCACAAAATATTCTTCACGCGCACTGAAACTCAAACCGTGCGCTGACACATTTGTATAATAATATTCCACAAACATTAAACAAAGGACCTGCATTTCAAGCCGTCGGGCTCACGCACCCTAGTATTACGTCTTTGTTAACTAACTGCCTTCTTTATAGGGCCACTCTCCTCGGCATTAGTCAGGACAACGGCAGCTGGTCCGCAGTACAAGTTCTGATCTTTTTGCGCCACTTCAAGTCTTCAGATTTTCTGCCTCTGCCGATGCCCCCCCCCCCCCGCCTTCTTAGCGACGTGCACGCTCCAAGGGGAAGTGAAAAGTTGCATGTACAACTTTTTATTGAAACTCATATGTTAGCCGACTTCATATGTACGCAAACTAACATTTTTATATAGAATCGTTGACCTCTCAACTTTATTTAAAATAGCATTATTATTATTATTATTATTATTATTATTATTATTATTATTATTATTATTTCAAAATTTAGATTACCCATTCTACTGTATGGCATGATTTTCTCAACCTGTTTTGTTACCTTTGTATGGTTATATTAACATAAAAATAATCTAGATAGCATTTATGTAACGCTCATTCTCAATTAAACACAGCATTTGATGTTCCACTGGGTAGCTCTTATACGAAGGTTTTTCTTGAGGTCAAAATGTCGTTAGATAGGTGGCTGCCACTTTGTCTAATAGGGACACTCTTAGTTTTACATTTCTATCTGTTATTTTTCTTTTACAAGTACCATTAATGCCCTAAAATGTAACATACGTTACTGTCGCCACCTAGAATTTTCAACTTTGAAATTGTGTTTCAGAAAAATAAGTTCCAGAATAAACGAAACATGTGCAATTAGTCATTGCTGTGTGTATATGCACTTTGATTATTGGTAAACATTATATTTGACTGTTAAAATCTCATTGGTATAATGGATGATCAAATGTCGCAATGAAATTTTTGAGAATGTGAACATGACAAATATTATAAAACAATATTTGAAGATTTCATTTAAATGACTGTACATTTATTAAGATAGCCTCTGTTTAGAAAAACACATAAGTAATCATATTTTACAAAATCTGCTGTTTTCCAAGAGATAAGTAAGACAGGTAACAGCTATGCTGTACATTTTTGTTTTGGAAAAATTTTTACATCATTTTGTAAAACACATTTTTGTCAAAAAAGTAATGTGGAAAGAGGTCATGAAATTTCCATATTTTGATTGCTATGGAAGAGTATTAAAAGTTATAGAAGTAATTTGCTTGCCCCAATCCAAAAATTAAAAAAAAAAAAATAATAATCCTTATTTTATATCTATTTTTATGTGTTTTTTTTAAGTTTCAGAAATCTTGGATGAGGTTTTAGTCAATTGGCTGAAATCAATACATTTTGTGAACAGTTTATTGTTATTTTGTTATCATAATATATGTCTTGAAACATAATAAACACTTACATTGTAGGTAAAAGCTGCAAATTTTTTTTTTCATATATATTCCTTACCCCTACCCCCACTTTTGGGGGGGCAATTTAGTGGGAGGGGGTATTCACATAAAAATGCTTATAATTTGAAAACTTGATGGTAAATGTCTTTGAAAAGTTGCAATTGAATAAGTTAAATAGAGTACTTTGATAAAATATTAAGCTTGATCAGGTTCCTAAATATACCCATTACAGGTATCTTACCTTAATGTGTGTAACTCTGATATATTAACCACAAATTATGGCGGCTTAAACGCTCTTGTGTCATTTTTAACCCATTTTCATTGTAAAAATGAAACATACGTTACAGAAACATACGTTATCAACGTTTTAAAGTAAGTTTATCAAAAGGGAAATTGAAGTCAGAAAGCACGTATTACATCAACATTAACTTCTATTTGACATTAGTAAGTAAATTTTGTTAACTTTGGTCGTGTTTTTACTTGTTTAAGTAACCACAGTGAAACAAACGTTACTTTTATCAAACAGACTTTATATTGTTTACACATGCATATATAAAAACATAAAATCGCATTTTTATGACAATAGAATGATGTGCATTTGATTCCTAAATAAAAAAGTCGATTTTACATGTAAGTTTAAATTCCGTGATAAAGTTCATAAATGAGCGAGTGTGAAACATACGTTACTCCAACTTACAATTCAACAATTTTTGAAAATTAAAGATAAAGTTGGGATTAGCATGCCTGTTAGTAACGGTTACCTTGTATAAGATGTAAGAAGACACAAAATTGTTTTTACAAAGGAAAGATATGTTAATAATATGTTGATGTACCAGCAGAAATGTTAAAAATATAGTACAAGATATTGATGTTCTCAGCAACAACTAATTCGTTTCTTCAAAGAGCTTATTGGCCGTATTTCATTCTAATATATATAATAATGTTAAAATAATATCCATAAATATAAATTATTTTACAAAAAAAAAATTGTTTTCTCAACCTTTACTTGCATTTGAATAAAATGAAACATACGTGACATCCTATATGGGGATAAATATCGAACTGCTTAGAACTAAATTTTCCAAATATTAAGAAAGTGGAAAGTTGAATGTTTTGAAAAAAATTGCTTATACAAAATTTGTGTATGCATTCAACCTCTCATATATTTTATATGATATATATCTTTTGAATGAAGACATAAAATAATCATTTCCAAAATTGACTATTTTTGCTTTCTACGAATATTTAACTTTGAAGAAATTGACTGAAAATCAGCAAGGTACCCAACTTCTTTGAATTTTCCTGGGTTAGAAAGTCCCTCTAGATAGATAATTTACAGATTTTGATATATTTTACAGACATTTGTTATTAATATGCAGCCAATATGTTACATTATTAGATCTGAAATCTACGTTACCGAAAAAATACAGTGTCATTACCGAAATAAATGCCATCCTGTTATATCATAGTTTCTTGTTCAAAATATTTTTGGCAAACTTGCAAAATACCCTAAACTTTTACTTCAGCGATAAAAAATGACACAATTCCAACATCAAATTTTTAATATTTTTCAACCTCAAATGCTTTATTTTATTGAGAATGGGCGTACAAGACAAGACAAATCAAGTCCAAAGATAAATCAAATACCTATGTGCGTTGTTCAAAATATTGTCATTCATTGTATAATTGTATGTTTATCACTTTGAATAGCTGTTCATTATCAAATGTTGTTGATCTTTCATAACCTAAAGTTGATCTTTCATAACCTTAAGATTATTATATGTATTGGTTTTTGAATTAGATCTGAAGATCTGAAATGTCCTTTGTTTCTTTCTGATTTAGCGTGTTTGATGATGTGCCAACTGCTAAATTTTGCTTCAAAGTAACAAAATACAAATTTTATTTCAGAGTAACAAAATACAAATTTTATTTTAGAGTAACATCATACAAATGTATACATTAAATGGTTAAACTGAAACTCCTTAATATTTTACAAAATTCTTACCAAATTTTTACCCCTTCTGTCACTGTATGAAAGTACAGCTTGCTACTTTTGATTTTAATTAGCTTATAGTTTCATGTGCACATGTATACAGAAATGAAATAAGATAGTAAAAAATATTCTTCACGCGGATGGAAATTCTTAAGGTTCTTTGTACCAGTGAAATTCAACAACTTTCACGCTCCTGGTGGAAAAATCACGGTCGTTAATATTTTGATCTTCATTCTGCAGGCAAGAAATATATCCTTCACTGCAAGTTGGACACCCGGCATAGCTTGAATATATTGTTTCATTTCTCGCTCTATCCCCCACTCTCTCAAATACTCTTAAAGATACGCTTAAATTGTAAATTGTGAAGAAATTCACTCTTTCTATAATAGATAAATTGCTTCAGCAAGAGTTTAATCGCCTTGCGTCGGCGTCATTTAAATATCTCAATATCTTATTGAATCCTTTTCAGTGTAAATATACATTTCCGTATATATTTATCTCGTTGCAGGCTCTGGTCACAGTAGGGTCTTGGACCTACAAGTCAATTACAAACGCTCTAGACCGGCGGAACTTCTACTCGGACCACTGTCTGCAGCTAGCGAGTGATGGACAACAGGGAGCCCATCTGGACCTTTATCAAATACACACATACGATACGTTGTTTATATACCTACCTCACGATCCATTTATGGTAAGAGCTTTTGTAAACACTTTCCATCCTAAATATCTTAAATGGACTTGTCCATCTTTCAATCCGGACAAAACCATTCATCATTGTTAGGGAAAGTATGGACCGATTTCAAAATATACATGTACTGACTGAATAGCAAACAGACCATGATCAGACGTCAAAGATGTGTAGGGTATAGATTATAATTTGGTGCATTTATAGAATCTGTTGCCAGCAGCAGGCTAAATGTTAAACAAAATCTTAAAGCATTTTACATGTAATTAAGGCACATATAGATAATGTACGTTTTTTTACGGTTACACTATGTTAAAAGTCTCAGACAGCGAAATCTTGTATGCATCGAGCCCTGCCTTTTAAATCAATAGAAAAAGCCGCAATATTGTCAGCATAATTTTAGGAGTCTGTGAGGTATTAATATTCACAATGTATAAATGCTCAGAAAGCAAATCCCCTTAATTGAGTGTGCGTATTACTTTCTGAAACAAAAATATACTTTGTATGGAATAGAATGGACAACCCAAGAACTGTTTTCCATGTTAACTTACTGACTTGTTTGTATTTCATTTAATAATATATAGATATAAACAGTTTTACAAAAATGTGTTTTATTTTTTAATAATATGTATAATTTAATCAGGTTTGAAAATGAATTTGTAAATTTAGTTGATTTTTCAATGGGTATTAACTTATTTCTTTGGCTATAAATTTAACACATAATCATTCGGAAATAAATACATTTACATGCACATGTATATGTTACAGAAATTTGAAAGTCACATAAAAACTGACCAGAATTCTTCCATCTTCAACTATGATTTTGTGAATAAATAACATAATAACATAATCTAATTATTACACAGGTTAATGCAGACGTTTATAAACTGAATAAACCTGTTATAATTGGTGAATTTAGTCAAAAGAAAGGAGGCATGATGACGTCACCTGAACAATTTACATGGGCTTATAACCACGGGTATAGTGGGGCGTGGTCATGGAGCGCAATAGATTCAGGTATGTTCACCGTCAGAAGTTGAGCAAGTGTCTCAAATAAATAAATAGATTGATTTTCAGATTTTTTTACGTAACTGTCAATTGCAGCCTCGGCCATCGTATCTCCGGTAAAGAACGAGAAAGGAGGCACGGGTGAAATGAGTAATGTTTGTCGTTCATCTGTCTCTCCATACAGCACGATAAATGCGCTCGTTTTTGTTTTGGTGTCAAACGGTCAGACAAACAGCTGGGGAAATTTTCAAATCGCAGCCGATTTTAGCAGCGATTGTATCAAAGCGGTGCATTTACCAGGGCTTTGAAAAACCAAAAGGCCCGCTATCACCAACGATAGAGGGGTCGTACAAATGAAGCTGCAATTGACTAATGCATAAGCAAATATAAAGAGCAGATTATTATGGTGGCTGATTTGGTACGCTTTTGTGCGCCTAGCTGGCGCTAACGACAACACGACAAAACGCCAAACGGCGCGTTGTCGGACTTTGGTCTTGTTTGGACTTTGGTCACTGGCTCCAATCCTTCGATTTGAACTGAGCGACAATGTAACATCGCGACTACACGCCGCACGACAACGTGCAGTTTGGTGTGCATCGTTAGCGACATGACGACAAGACCAAAGTCCGACAACGCGCCGTTTGGCGCTTTGTCGTGTTGTCGCTAGCGCCAACTAGACGCACAAAAGCGTACCAAATCATCCACCATAGATTATCCATGTAGACATCTGATTGGTTCTTTTAATCAAGCCTTTATCAGACACTGTGCGGACAATTTCAAATGTAAATTTTATAGAATTAGTCATTCATTCAAGATGTAGCAATTAGTTAAAATTGTTGCGCACATTAATTATTTAATTTTTACAGGATGCACTAAAATGAATGAAACATCATTATAGTAAATGTTTTTTAATTACTTACATATATACATTTATAAAATTGCCAAATATAAATTACATGTACCTGTTTCAGATTCCGCTGCAGACACATTAGCCGTCCAAGAGACTGGTTTACGTTCGTTAAAAGACAAAAACGACCAGTCTAAAGGTGGGCGTGTCAATATAATCATACAGGAAAAGGAAGTGACGAAAACGTTGCTATATATAGCATTTGGATATATTGCATTGACGTTAGATATTATATTTTGTCTTTAACTCTTTTTATTTATGATGATAAAATTTTAGATATTTTAAGAAAAAATATAAATGCGCTGATACTGATTTTTTTTAAATTAAATATTTTTACGTGATTATATAATTGCATTGATGAAATAAAGATATGTTTTTTAACTAAAATAATATTGGGTTGTCCTTTGATTTTATCATTTAATGAATGAAAGAGTATCATTTATTTACCATAAGCTAATAATAAGGATCATACCAGATAAAATCAGTATACGTTTGCTGACACTATGTTTCACTCACTGAGATATTTCATAGTAAAGTCTGTCAGAGCAAACGATTCTTTCCAATCCAAGAATAATGTGCTTTTTTCTACAGACGATAATCGTACATGTCGAGTCGATACTGCTTCGTCCTGGTTATTTTAAGGAATTAGTAGATTCAGACAAGAGGTGGGCGTTGACTTAGTGGCTATAAGGTGTCGGTCTTGAAATTTGTTCATTTTTAAAAATAGAAGAAATCTACCATATTGAAAAAATGGAACAGGATTAATGTCAAATGTAAATTTAAGAAATCCATGGTTTGTAACCAGTATAAAGAACCTTATTAAAGACATCTTTTAAGGACTCGATAACAAATGTATTTTAAGTAACTCTTTGCTGTGACTATATCAGACATTTAGGGTAAAATATAATTATTATTCATTTGTTGGCAATAAAGAAAAACGTTTATTTATTTATTGGCGAGACATTTGAAATGTTATCTCGAGACATTTGAAATATTACCTCAGTTGATGTATCATAAGTGCCATATAATTTTAAAGATTCTTACCAATGGCTTTTAGTACTGCAGAACCTTTTAGGGTAATGGGTACTAAATTTTATCCAATAATTTTAAACCATAAGAGTATTGTAAATTGGTTTTAGTTTATATGAGCCACGACAAAACCAACATAGTGCGTTTGCGACCAGCATGGATGCAGACCAGCCTGCGCATCCGCGCAGTCTGATCAGGATCCATGCTGTTCGCTTACCAACTCTATTACAGGTGGAGAAACTGACAGCGAACACCATGGATCCTGATCAGACTGCGCGGATGCGCAGTCTTGTCTGGATCCATGCTGGTTGCAAACACACTATGTTGGTTTTGTCGTGACGCGGCTCATTTTATTATTAAGATAGTGTTTGTATTTTAAGTATTTGTATTTTATGCCCACGAAATTTTATAGCAAAATTTTTAAAAGCTTTTTAGGATGTCGGGTTTAATGTCACATGTTAAAATATGTGTATAAAATGGTCTTTTGTGTATGAGATATATTAAATGAGGATCAAATTAAATGTCTTAAGAATTGTAGTCAGCTTGTAAACTCTTTAGATGGAAATTATGCAATGCATAATTTTTTAGGACCCCGCCGCCAAAAAGTGAAGAGTAGGGGATTTTATTACTATCTCTGTCCGTGTACCTTTGGGTGTTAGAAAATATTTACTTTGTGTCAAAAATATTTTCTTAAAGGGACATCACATTAGGTACAATTTTAAGTAGGCGTAATACATCATTATACCCCAGAAACGAAGTTTGGGGATATATAGGAGTCCACGGTGGTCGGTCGCTCGGTCCAGCGGTCCGTTGCATTTTCCTTGTCCGGGGCATAACTTGAAGACTAATGGTTGGGATTCAATACAATTTCATACAATGGTCAAGCACATTGAGAGGATGTGCAGTGCACAAAAACGATAACTATATCTAAAGTAATTACAGAGTTATTGTCCTTTGTTACTTTTTCTTGTTCGATGAATTACTTGAAAACTACTGGTTGGAATTCAAAACAACTTCATACATTAGTCAAGCACAATAAGGGGAAGGAAGTGCAGTGCACAAGAACGGTAACTCTATCTAAAGTAATTTCAGAGTTATTGACCTTTGTTACTTTTCCATTACTTTCTTTTGTCCGAACCATTACTTGAAGTTTAATGGTTGGAATTCAATATAATTTCATAAAATGGTCAAACACATTGAGAGGTAGTGCAATGCACAAGAACCATAACTCCATCTTGACTAATTACATAGTTATTGCCCTTTGTTATTTTTCCTTGTCCAGAGCATAACTTGAAAACTACTTGCTGGAATTCAAAACAACTTCATACAATGGTCAAGCACAATAAGAGAAAGTGCAGTGCACAAGAACGATAACTCCATCTAAAGTAATTACAGAGTTATTACCCTTTGTTACTTTTCCATTGCTTTTTTATCTTTAATTGCCCACAACCATAACTCTGTTTCAGTTATTTTGCAAGGTATTCTGTTACTAGTAACTTCCTCATTTCCGAAGCATCCTTGCGGCGGTATTAATCACATGTAGTGATAGTTCTAGGTTTTGTTTTATAAAAAGATTTTCTTTCGAAAATTTTAAAATCTCTATTTTTTTTTTCTTCAAAAAAATTGGCACAATTATTTAAGCAGTTAACATCCAGTACCAGTATTGCATTATCATGGCGATAAGGGACTTTACTGGAAAAATAGTAAATAATGAAACAATAAGCTTAACAATACAACAATTATCAGAAATATAAACAAATCTGGGTATGAATCGATCAATCTTCTTATACTTGCAGGGTAGTCATATTGTTTCCTGAAACAAGTTTATTGATAACACTTAATGTTTCGGTAAAATTTCCTATTTTGTGAAATTAAATTTACACGTATAGTTTAAGCATCTTGAAAGAACAAAAAAATGTGGAGCTTCCGGGGATGATAAAATGATAAGCAGAACTCAACATGATCGATTTGTCCTGGCTAAGACACGTCCGTGGCCGAGTGGTCAAGTCCTTTACTTCAAACCACCTCACTTTGTTTGAATCCGGTAGAGACTATGAATTCTTTAATGTAAGGAAGCTTTAATTCTAGCTATGCTGGTGGTTCTACTCAGGTGCCCACTTGGGCTCTGTACGTCATGATTTTAGAGTTATTGCTCTTTGTTCATTATAATACTTTATTTTTACCGGACTTATTCTCCTACACTTTAAAAGCTATTACCTTGAAACTTCATAGGATGATAGATCTCGTGGAGAAGAAGAGCAGTGCACAAGAACTTGTACTCTGCACTTCATGATTTTTGAGTTATTGACCTTTGATTATTTTCTTACTTAATAGGCTTGTTCACACTATAACTTTGATTGACTCCAAATTTAGTATGTAAGCTTTTTTCATTGACCTGAAGTGCAGTTAAGAATCCACCACATAGTCCACCATTTGATCTGTCAGTGTAAAAGTTTTCCATTGTATTTTTGATAATATAACAGTTTTATTAATCCTGATGTAACATTGTTACAATCAGTTCAAATGCCTCTAAAGTTAAAGGTACATGGACATTGTAAGAGCAGTGTTTATAAATAACTTATATTTAAGAAGAAAATGCCTAAGTGACAGATAAACTGTTTACAAGGCGACAAATCCGACTCGCGGAGTCCTAGTTTATTCTACTTATAAAATATATTTAATTGTAAGACTATAAACAAAAAATATCTTTTTAATAATGACACTCGTCCGCGCGTAAAATATCAAAACAAAATTAAAAAAAAAACTAAACAAACAAAAAACAAGTTTAATTTCTTTAAATTTCAATGATTTTGGTCATGTGATCAAATGAAACCCACATTCGTTGTCAGTCCAAGAAAATGTTTTAGTGCTCGCCGGAGGCTTGTTTTATTACAATTTCTCGAACTGTCGTTATAAAAGCTTATTTAAGGCAACTCATGTGTGATCCTATATATCACAAGTATCTTTATTTATGTGTCTGATCACTTACGAATAGAAAACACTAACTTTATTTGAGTGTTTTTCATATGTTTAAACATTAAAATACCGGCAAATACCGGTAAATGGAAGGCAAATAGTCCGTGAATTTACCGGAAGTCAATGCGCACGACCGAAAAAGGTCTTCATCAAGTGCGACACGTTTGTTGTTATTTTTCACCAAACATTTTTCGAATGAATTATACCATTGCGGTAAAATTTGCTACGACATGCGTTTTTGATTATGTATAATTACAAATGGTAAAAATACTTCGACCTTTTCATTTTGAGGACTTTTCGCTGATCCATGGTCCAGAACTTATACATGTACATGTAGTTGATTTAACGCTTAACTCATTAAATTCGAACATAATTGTGCTTGGAAATGAAGTTCGACTTCAAATGAATGTTACTGTTGGTGACCTACTCTTTGCATCTTTCAAGTTATTGCCGCCAATTAAGACTTAAGACTTATAAAATTGTGTGGTTTTGACATTGAATATGTAATATTGAATATGTATTGATATGTGCATAGAAAATGTCTTATTGGTTGATGCTTAAATACTAGGTTTCTACTAGGGTTTTTTTTAGATTTTTTTAACACAAGCATTGTTTGAACATATTAATCGGTTTGCTTTTGGAAAGCGTAACACTCAATATTTGTCTCGAAAGCATAAAATGTAGTTCTAAGATTTATTATTGTCAGTTTCTCAATAAAACTATTTCAGATTTCTTTTAATTGTGTAAGATCTAAGGCAAGAATATTTTAAGAGAAAAAATGAAGCATGTTTTACATCGGGATGCATAGTCGTTTCTGTTCACCTACAAATTATCATGCAACATATAGTTTAGTATGTGGTTTCAAGGAAATGCCAATTTTGTGATAGCTGTGTTTAAGGTGTAACAAATTGTTCACACAAGGGTTTGTTTCCCTTTTTTTAATTAAAATGAGCCCACATATTCTTTTACTTTTATTTTTCGCTCTTCAATGCTTTTATTTTTCGCTCTTCAATGAATGTTCCATAATCGCTGCCATATAGTATCCGAGTATGTTGCTTAATGCTAAAGGTACCCTGTCTTAAAATGAAATGCTGGATACTACTTAAACCGGTGCTAGAGGGCGTGAACAGTAGCACGAATTTAGCACTGTCGTCCACGAAAAGGCCCAATATCAGATAAACTTGCGTTTTAGTTAACTAGTGGTTCCTATATTCATAATATGTGTATTAATCCAATATCTTTTATCTGCTTTTATTAATTACTGAAGTAATTGTTTGATTTGCAATATAATATTATATTCTTTAACAAGTACTTGTAACAAAAGTTTTGATGTTCTTTTTTTATGCATTTTTATTTTTATTTCTATATTATACTTCATGAGCAATGTTTGCAATGTAACAAAATCCTTGACGTTCTGTCTATGTACTTTTATTTCTATATTTATACTTCGTGAACGGTGTTCGCCATAATTTTAGGTTATTCTAACATGTTTTATTCATTTACTTGTATGTGTTATATTTGTTATCAAGTTATTTAGTTTATAAGTCAGTTTTGATGTATTGTATACCCGACTTATATATTATTTGACTTCACGAGTCAAGTTTTCCATCCTTTTCCACTTTTAAACTTTACATTTTATCGCAGAGCATAGTTGTTATTTTCATTCCTTATTACTGTGGCTAACCATCTTGAAGTAAATGTGAAATTAGATCTTAAGAACCATTGCGCTATTTTATTAATTGTAAACCTTTAAAGATATATAAATACGCGTATAACAGACGCTGTTAAAAGTCGCAACTTTTCGGCCATTTCCGTCAATCTTCGGATAAGGGCTATGGATAATCGGCGAGTTATTCCGAATGATACTATATGGAATTCTTAGTATGGGATAGAGTATATATGGGATAGAGTATATACATACACTGTTCTGTTCAGTTTCACCTGTTAAGATAATCTGATTTTGTAAAAGTAAATGGATATTTTTTAATTTTTTTATAGTCGGCCATTTTTCCCTGCAAAAACAATAATTCGTAGAAAAAGAAAACACACTGCAACATTTAAAGCATTTTATTACCGTAAAGTTAGGGAAAAATGGTTTTTAAGAAAATGTCAAATTATTCCAAAATGTTTCAGTAAACAGCAGTCAAAGACATTTAGGCTGAGAAGAAAAATATCAAGGAAAGTGAGTGTAAGAAAAGTAGTTTGCTGTTTGTACAGGCAGATAAAATATCACTATCGTCCAAACCATGTAAAGTATATATAGCATTAAATTAATATAAACTCATATATTCTGCCTCGGTTGTTAAAAAAGCAATTAATTGTTAACATAACATTTCTTCAGCTGCTGTTGTCAAATCATGTTTAGTTTTTATACTAATATGTCTCCAAATGTTCTTAGGGCAGACAAAATGTTATTTTTTTATATATATATATATATTACATATATATAATTTTTGTTATTGGTAGGAACATATTTTCAATACATATTGAAATAGATAGGTTGTGCCTTGTAAAAGATAGCTGTGCACACTATATCTAGTAATACAATAAAAGGCGAAGTCTACACCACTTGGGAAATATTCGAATTGAAATTCAAGGTGCATTGACAACATTATCTAACTGCATCTGTCTGTAGCAACCCAATTATTCCCCTTGTGGCTGATGCGACAATGAAAACAACGTAATATTTAATATATCTAACACAAAAAGAACGTCTGCTATGAGACATTAATATCACCAGCAACAGCAACATTAAAAACATATTTTAACAGTACTTAAAGCATAGAAATGGTAAAACTCCGTTTGCATATGCACAACACCACTAAATTGGTTCAATATCACATGGGTTGTTGTAAAAATGTCAGTGCGTCTGTTATCACACAGAATATAATTGAAAGCGTCTGTTGATTCCGACGACCTCCTGTTTTCTTCGCCCGCACTGTAAAACAATTCTAGGGAAAACTAAATATTGAGTTTTTTGTTGTTGATGTTGTTTTTTTCACATCTATTTTTAGATCTGCGTAAGAAGCAACGTTAAGCTACTGTAAAATTTATGGCGGACTACTTTTATACATATACGTCATATAAAACATAAATAAAATACATTTGTAATTTAAAAATCCTAAATTTGTTAAGTGATTTTACTAAATACACACATATATGTTCTTGATTTAAACAACATGTACATAAAAGTCTTTATGGTGAGTATAATGTTGTAATTATCATACTATATTTGAATTTAGAATGTGATATGTAAAACTCGTAAGATGATTGGTAGTTATTTTAAGAATATGATGACGTGCAATAAGATGGTGGAAGTTCGCATCATCTCTGAAATACCGCTGTTTACCCCGAAATCGAAAGAGATCGAAAGACATCATGCACGAGATAATTGATTAGCATATACAATACCATGATGAGTTAAAATTTATAGGGGTAGTGAAATGTAACCATACACTTCCCATATCATGAAAAAAACGGTATATTGTCTAACGTTGTAAAAATATTTTTAAAAAATGGCCGCCGTTTCGAATTTGTTGTCCTTGCAGAATATGTATTTGCCCGTACAATTTCCCACCAAGAATTAATATAGTTTATCTTAAATTCTAAATATTTTTTTTTAAAATATGGACATATTTTTTTAAAATATGGACAGAAACATTAAATATTTTATTATAAAGTTCTGGAGTTCTATTTTTAGAATCGATATATGGTCAGCGTATGGTTAAAAATCATGGTAATGTTTATGGTATAACTCATTTATCTCGTGTATATCTACAGAAATGTCAAAGGACATAAGCTATTTTTAGATCGATGCCAGACGATAAAAAAGCAACGATATTAATAAAAAATATATTTAAACGAAAAATATTAATAATAAGCAAAGCAAAACAATAAATAAACTATATAATACGGAAAAAAATGATAAAGATGTATGAAAAATGAACAAAACTCAAAGCAATGCCTGCTCAAAATATAGTCTCATGTATATGCCTATCACAACCAGTGGTAAAATCTAACAAATACTGGAATTCTGGCATGAATTAACACAGCATGGTTTTCACGGGTTTTCATCTTTACAACCTTGCATAGTTTTCACCTTCCTCTCCTCTCTACTAACACAGATAGATATGTATTTTTTTTGCCATCCCTCAAAAATATGTTATCAGGCCAGTTTTTGACCGATATAGATTACATGTATAGTCAACACAGTTGAACGCGCGAAACCCGTGCAAAATCCATGAGTTGTTAATCAATGACCATTCAGTTTCGTTGCCGTTCTCTCAATGAATAACATGAACGTATGAATAAATGCGTAAACAATTTGAATATCCTCATTAAATATAACAAATAACAAACATTTTAATCTATTCTACTCTAATATCTAACGTGTGGGTAATTTCCAATTATATATACGTATATCTTTTAGAAAAGTGATATATTCAGTTCTAAATTATTTATTTGAAAAAAGAATCACCCTTCAAATATTTACTCCAATAAAACACATTCTAGAACAGGCTTTCTCATTACAGAGTGTAACCTCTGTTACAAACTTGCGTATTTTATGATATATATGTAGGCAATATCATATATCTATATAGAGCATATAATACTCAAGTTTACGAAGCCCATGTGCTATAATTTACTTATCGCATTCATTCTCCTGCAATAATTAATTTATCACATACATAGAACTAGCATGATAATCTCACACGGTGTATTAAACATGTATATATAATGCGTGCACCTTTTGATAAATAAATCATTTGATTAAAATATGTGTATAATAATGTTTAAACCTATGCCGTCACCATTTGTTGTTGTTGTTGTTTCATTTAAGTGACCAAGTTAATTTTCCTCTTTTTCAAAATTCATTTTTATTCCATTATTCCTCTCATTCGTTTAGTCATTAATTGAAGTATCTTTTATATTCAAATTTGTTTTTTTCCATGGATAGATATGATAATATTCTTTGGTATGTTTTTGTAACGTATGTTACGTTTTTTTCCTAAAAAATGCTGTACACGATTTAGAAACAGTTACTATGGCAACAGTCAATTAGTCAGGTTGGACGTTTTTAGTGGTACAATGTCTTCTGGACGTGGCTTGCTTTGTCCTGGAAATTAGAAATAATAAACGTTACTAAAATTACATATATTTTTCAAAGTAACGTATTTTAATGCATTTACACATATAACGAAGGCAACAAAACTGTCACATAGTGCAAGAATACTGTTTAGCCCAAAACTGTAAATCATAATATTTCATCGGTTAACGATATTTTTTAAAAGCATCAACATTGTTTAAAAGTAACGTATTTCATTGCATTGACACATATAATGGAGGTAACAAAACTGTCACAAAGGGCAAGAATAATGTTAAAACCCGAGAACTGGAAACCACTCAGAAATCGTTTGACCTTCATAAAATACATTAATAAAATATTTTAACGGATAAAGATATTTTTTTCAAAATTCTCATATTATGTTACGTACAAGGATATTTAAAATTAAAGAGCGTTACCGATAAAGCGAGTGAATAAAGAAAACCCATTCATTTCAGAATTTTTTTTAGAAAATGGACAAGAAGCTCCAAAAGTCGAAACTCTACATTAAAATAGTCGTAATATACTATAAGACTAATAAAGTATATATTTGTTTATGATGTTAGATTTATTTTGCATAAGTAAACAAAAGTTACCTCGTCTTTGTCATTGATGATAGTTGTTGTTACTTGTGAACCCTCTCCCCAGTTGTCTTCATCTCTGAACACAAGGTCATTAAGTCCTGCCTCTGATGCAGAGCCGCGGGCCAAGATCTGAAACAACAAGGTGGAATACAGGCTTATGTACGAAATGCATAGAATAGAAATATTATGAATGGAATAGAATAGAGTTGAATAAATAGTATAATTAGAATGAATAGAATATCATATCATAATATGAATGGAATAGAATAGAATAATATGAATAGAATATCATATAATAAATATGAATAGAATAGAATAGACATTGTAATCAAAATAAACCCATTGCATCAGAATACATCCTTTAAGGGCCATATTTTGTCACTCATATTATGATATTCTGATATTCATTGTAAACCTTGATATAATGGTCACCTATTAATAGCAGTATATACGAATTATCTTGTAACGAACACGTTACTATCATTTTTAAATGAAAAGTAGATTTTAAGATATAACAGGAAATGTTGATCAAATCTTATTACCTAAATATTTGCGAGTAAATCATAGGGACAATATTTCTACATCTTTTTATTTATAACCGAAATATCAATTCATTTTGTAAATTTTGCTTCCTTTTGAAATTTATAGACAGACTTCTCACAATGATTACCTCCCTTGACATATTGTACTGTAATGATAAGGGGAGATCACTGCGTAGGGCATTGTTTATCAAGGTAGAGTTACGTTTATTTTGTCATTGTTACTCCTGAACGTTTTAATTCCCGGCATGCTGCATTTTCACTAACTTCTAACAGACGGAGAACAAAACTTAGTGTTTTGTATAAGATATTCTGAAGATTTTGTTTAAAATTTTCACAGAAAATATGAAGCAAGTATGAAACAAGAATGAAAAGAACAACGTTCAAGGAACCCCCTTTAATATGTTCATGGAACCCCCTTTAATACGTTCATTGAACCCCCTAAAATATTAAGACAAATACAACCCTCGGTACATGAACAATAAAACAAATGTCACCATCTAAAGGATTTCACATCTAAATGCATTATAACTATTTAACCGAAATATGATATTTAAAAAATATGATCTGCAAATGTCAAAATCTGAAACAGTTCGTAGTCTTGGTGTATTTATATATCTTGCAGACGTGAAAACAGAAGCACTTTTACGTTCCATTTTATGATTTACGAGACACCTTGACATTATTAAAGTGAAGGTCACTTCGTTTGATCAGATTAAAATACCTCAAGAGTTCTCTATAGCCAGATATGAAATGAGTTTGAGAAATAAAGAAAATAAAGAAAACTTCTAGCAGATGAGAAAACGTGGGCGACTTATCAAACTATCTCTGAATTGTACATATTTGATAGCAAGCTAATGGCATCCATGCAGCTGGGGGAAAATGTTATTTCTATGGAAATACGTAAATTTCGTAACAGTAATCGATATTAGGTGTCTATCAGAGTAACTTGATGTTTTACTGCACAATATGGAAAGATGGAAAGATGTCCCCCCCCCCCTAAAAATAAATAAATAAAAAAAAAAAAAAAAATAAATAAAAAATAAATAAATAAAAAAAATGGACAAATGTAAAGTAAAAAAAGTTTGACACAGCGACAAATCTTTCAAATATAAATTACAAAGAAAACAAATAAACGAAAAAGAGTACAGTCATGCCGTTAGGAGAAGAAACAAGTGGTTTATAGTCAATGTGCCGATAGGTTATGGACACAGCATCGACGATTTTGGACATAGATCATTCAGATGTTTCCCCTTTTTAAATCTTATATGACTGAAGTCATTTTTGGACAAACATTTACATCACTCAGATATTTTCCCAGTCAATTTATCTTTTTGAATTATATTGTTTTAAAGTCATTGATATAATAGAAATATATAAAATATCTGCATCTCCGGAAATGTTCGTAAATGCTCGTACATACCTTTACTTTCTTTCCAGCCTTCAAGGTAAAGTTACGGAAGTTGTATGTGTACGACCTGTTGCCATCAACAACACGTTTCAGTTTCCATCCGTCGAGGTTGACGTCCTGTAAATAACAAAATGTCGTCTGTTAATTGTCGTCTGCATAATTCAGTCTGCTTAATCTCAAAGAGTAACGAACGCGCAGATATTTGTTTCAATGTGTTCAATTATTAACAAAAAGAATTTATATGCAATTTTAACAACTTGGTGGAGACAAATTTTCCTTTGTTTTCAAACTTTATGGATCATTTACATGACCGACATATGTATTTAACTGTCTGTATGGGTAGCGAGCTGGTCTGAAATACACGGAACGTACCCAGAGAAACAATAATTAACGAAATATTTCTATACCAGTAAATCAAATTGCAAATATGAATTGGTTTGGAAAACAATTTTGCATGTTATTAAGATTATTTGGTGTTTTATGGTTGCTCGTAAAAAGAAATCTATCAAAATGCATGGAACATGTGATGAAGTGGTGATCATTTGTTTGTCCCATATGGAACCTGTATAACCACGAGACAGATATGGTATTTTTTAGGATAACATCAAAGTAGTTCAAATAGTTCGCATTGTGTAAATATTTTATCACTAAAATACATGTTTTTGTTTCATCTTTTAATCAATATTAATACAAATAAGGAATCTTCCAGTACATGTGTTAGTTTTATTGAATTACAGTCGATAATACGTCAAAATGATGGTGAAATATTCATGCGATGATTTTTGCTGAATCGGCAGTTATATTTTAAGAGAAGACAGTGAATTACTCTTGTATTTATTGATTAGAATTAACATGAGCTACCACAAGTGCCGACGGCCCTTTACCGAGTCATGACCATGTTATACTTGATTTATATTAAGAATAAATATAGAATTGAATAAATCAAACGAACAAAAATAATGAAATAAAGTTCGCTTGTTTTTCTTTCAACATCTTGAGAGCATGATCGGGCATAAGCCCAATATTATGAATTTATAGATTTAAATTTATATTAACATTTCATTCTCAAACAAACGAGATGCATTTTGCCGTATTGGCGACTTAAATACAACCACCAATTTTAATTTTTATAATTAATAAGCACTTTTTCAAAAACTGATATGCACAAATTACAAGCTTAGAAAAAAAACGTTGTCAAACATTGCAGGAAAAAAACAACAACGCCTTTTATATTAGCTAATGATACTTTTTTTTCACTAGTTAAATGATATTTAGTATGATAACGGGTGAAATGAGCTATGTCACGTGTTGATTTAAGATGAAAGCACTCGTTAATAACACCAAATCTCACCACGCCCTCGGACTTTTTCCCTTTAGCATCCTATAATCATGATAAATAATGCGAAAGATGTGAAACTATTATTATATCCGAAATCTAATGACATTTCGTGAAATAGTGATAATATTTTCGGACAAGTTATTGGTCACTAGCTCTCGTTTTGATAGGGAAATATATCAATATTACGACTTGTAAAGAAGTAGGGAGGGTGGCAGGGGAGACTGCGGTGCTTGCCATTTGATAAAAAAAGAATAAAATAAACTGCATTGTTTGCCACTTGGCCAAAACGAGTAATAAAACTGCATTGTTTGTCATTTGATCAAAAAAGTATATAAAAAAACTGAATCGTTTTTCATTCGACCAAAAATACGTTGCTTGTCAATTTGCCGAAAAAAACTGTGTTGCTATTTGGTCAAAAATAAAGCAAAAGAAGAAAAGAGAACGCTTGTCTTTTTTGAAAAAAAGCGTTTTTGAAAGTAAATTTCATTTATTCCTCAGATAAAGGAATTGTATTGTGTTTTACATGAACAATATTTACAACATTTTTCCAAATTCAGATTTCCTTGTTAAATATTCATCTTTTCACATAGCATGGATTATCTCCCCTGACTGCCATTTTAGGGTCATATTACTCGACAAAAATCTCACGCATTAGAAATGATAAAAAATCAGTTTTAAAATATTGGCCAAAGACATTTATGAATGATACTTGCTTTCAGGGATAGACTTCAAAATTCATTATAATCGCTTTAAAAATGTAAATGGCACCGGTTTCTAAAGAAAACTTCAAACGAACTTTAATACGATTTGTGTCTAAAAATAGAGTTATCTAAAAAATAGACTTATCTAAAAATAGAATTATTTAAAAATAGAATTAATCAATTCCACCTACCCGTCTGTTTGGTCCGGATGATGTGTTTTCAAGCATGATAAATTTGCCTTTGGGATCGACTTCACTGATGGCAATGGGGCCAGTTGACGTCCTCTGGTAGGTGGTTTTGGCAGATACTTCGCCTCTCATCATTTTCATGCTAACTTGGGAATCTATAAACAGACATAAAATTTTAATTCAATCTAATAATATTTCTCCTTTTTAAGGAGTTTTTTTTTAATATATACCATAATTTGTTATAGAGAACAAGAACAATTATTAAAGATGTTGAAAGAATTAAAGAAAAATGTTCAAACAAGTGTGTATTCAGATGGACAGACGGTCGAAATATAAAATATAATCAAATGTAATTAACGAACTGATAAAATATTTAAATAATCATTGTATTCCGTTAATGACAGGCAAAACTAAATTTAACGTTAAAAATATATATCTTCAAAACAAAAAGGAAAAACAACTTTTATTCTCATCTAACAGCAGTATTAAACTTCATTTGCGTGTTTTCTCAGATATCTGAAAATGTCCTCACAAAAATTGTAATGTTAACTAAACAAAATGGCATTTATAATACTTTAGTTGTTGTTGTTTTTGTCAGAATAATACGGGAATTTACTAGCAATGCATTTATTTTAAATATTAATATTATTACGATATGTAATTTAATATATAACGATATTCAACTTAAGGTTTCTCATCTATCAATTCTTCTTTAAAATTTGACAATAAATCGTCACTTTCCGTTGCTAAAAACTATTCTTTTCGCAATTTTTTTCTTTTCTTTTTTTTAAAGCTTTATCAGACTCGCTGAAAAAGATGTCAAATTTTCACAAAATTATGATGGTATATAACATTTGAATAAAAATGTGGCCATTTTTAATGTAACTAGTTTTAATAATAAAAAAACATGCATATAATTATTTACTGCACTTCCTGTACAAACAATATACAATGTATATATGAAGGTATAATGTAATAAGTAAATCACATGCAAATATCAGGTTTTTTTTAACTTTTGTTATATTCAAGTAATACTGTTACAATTTGTTAGGGTTAATTAGGAGTTTTAGTTTTGTTTAATTTTTAGTTCACAGACCAATCTGACTCAACTTCAGATCTACTACTTTTTTTTATGTAGATCTGATGACGACCGTATATGTTTCGCCGGATTTCCCGAGAAAACTATATTTAGCCATGCAATCAAACCGACTTTTACACAGGAATTAGAAGTATCAAAATACCGTTATCTGTGAAAGTTAAACAAATTGTTATTTTTTGTTAGAAAAAAATGTTTGAAGTTATTTGTAATAAATTAACTTGAAATAATAGAGTCAATCTTAATGGACAAGATTGTTTTGCCAGTTTATCTGTCGGCTATATGGACAATGCCATGTTTGTTCTCGAAATCATGAAATTTACCTACTAAGTACTGGTTTTCCTAGGGTTAAAATTAATAACCACATCGTTCAAAAATTATGAAAGCTCGCCGATGATTAGCTGTGTGAAAAGTCACCAGAAATAATTTCGTATTTGGTCACGGTCAGATCTAAAAGCGGAGCGTTATTTAGAGCTGATTTTAATCAGATTGTTCACTTGCATAGGTAGAAAACAAAGAACATGAAGATCATGATTTTTTATCAACACTCTTTCTTCATTAGCGAAAGGTTTGTATTAAAAACACCACACTTTAGAAAATAAAATAAAATACAGTTAAAATGATGTATTTTTGCAAGTTTATCAGAATAGTCCCTAATCTTGCAAAAATAACGTAAAAAGTTTGTTTAGAAATGTTAAAAAAATACAACTCAGTCCCTTACATGTTTACCTTTTCCAAACTTGTTATATCTTAATATTATAAAGTCTATGAAACATGGTCAAATTAAAAGAATATTGTTCGCCAATTTTTATAAAAAAAGAACTCCTAGAAATTGTAATCAATCCGACCTGATTTTTCTCCTCGCCCAATTGACGGGCTTGGACTCGATATTTCCGAAGCAAAGGTAAACATACAATGTTGGACTATTTTGAAATGAAAGCATGTTATTTTAAGATGCCGTGACAGTGATTCGTGTATCCTACCAGGTTTAGACGGTGGTTCTTGCTCAATTTCTACTTCTGTAAAATTTAAATTTGTTTTGATAACATGACAACTTTTACTTCTTTTGAAGCAATTGCAATTCACGTAAAACCCATGCATTTTAATAGCATTGTAACCTCACAAACATAACAAAGAATTCAGCATGCACGATCTTGGAATAAATAAATTCTTTAACCAAAACTAAATGACGATGTCTCTAAAAAATTCTATTGAAATATGGTTTCTGATATATATTTTTCTTCCGGATTATATGAAATAATGACGTATACAATGACGTCATATGTACGCACCCCCTCTGCTCTCGTAACCACTGACAACTTCAGAGAGCATTTCTCCGCCGTGACTTTGAGTATTGACAACTTGTTCTACAACTTTCTTCAACCCAACCCTGTATGATCGATGAAAGAGAAAAGAAAAGAAGCGGAAATAAATAAAATGATGAAACAGAACAGATACGAACAAACAATAAAATGATAAAGGCAGTTTCTGCATAAAGGGATGGCCACAGTTTCATTTTTCAGTTTGTCGTCTTCGTTGGATGACCAGGCAAGCATGCGTAAAACCAAATGCATAAAAATGAAATATGCTTTTCATAAAAATGGAATATGCGTCAGCTAATGTATTCCCTTATACAACTATTTATATTAGGTCAATGAACTGGAATCAGAAGCCGCTATTTGCACACACAAACAAGTCAAACAATCTGTAAAAATGATAAAAATAAAAGTATTTGAAACGATGTAATCAGTAAAATAGATGATCAGCTTAAAAACGCATGGTTTCGGAAAACAGTATAGGAGAAGTTTTCATTTTCCGCGCTTAACTAGCAGTTATAGACCTAGGATTTTTCTATTCAAGGAAACAAATTTTTGTAAACCACGCTATACTTGGTACATGTATTTTTCTTTCCAAAATAGCCCACGGCAAATATATCTAGGTATATTTCATATAACATCACATCATAAAGAACATTCAGAAAATATACTTCTGCAGAATTTGGTCTAGGTATTGTGTTGGTTTTTTTTTATTTTGTCAAGAAAAAGAGAGAAAACTAATTTCTAGGTTGAGAAGAAACTATAAACAAATAGAAAACAAACTAAAATACTAACAATATAAAACAAACAACATACATGTATTGAATGGAGCAGCATATCACGATAATGTAAACTTTACCCAAAAATTCATTTTTTATTTAAACACATCTTGGTGTAATTTTAATAAATAAAGAAATATAAATATTTATCTTTCTTTTACAGAGATCTGTAACCGTAAGGATCTTTCGTGGGTGTGAAATAGCTACTCCAGTCAAGTTTATAATCAAACTAACAAAACAAAACAATCCAGAAAACAAAAGAAAATATTGTGATGAATAAATAAATAAGATTTAAATTTGTCATGGAACTGACAATAAAATAGTAGCTTGAGGAAAACGTGAAATTGAAATCGCAAAATTGAAAGTTTGTAGTTTATTTAAATTACCTAATACAAAATCAAAATTCATCCATTTTCATTTGTTTTCTTTTCTAACCTTAGCAACTTAAACAAAAAAATATCATAACAATATGATACAAAATACTATACTATGACATAATATATCAAAACAAAATATAACGTAAAACGTTGACAGTTTGACAAAATGAAAAATAAACGGAATGTGTACACTTTTTCAAATAAACGAAAAAAATACAATGTGGCGCAACAATAAGCCATTCAAACAGCAGACGACAGCAAGATTTGTAGGCAGAACAACATCCATACGACAACCAACAATATCGACACGTACCGTCACCGTTTAGAAGTGCTTTCTCAATTTTCTCAACGGTTGTTTCAGTCTTAGAATCAACGTCGGTTTTTTCTTCTTCCACGCCATTGATCTTTGGCTCTTCTGTCTGCTTTGGCACAGTCTTATCGTCTGCATCTTCACTGACTTCTTTTGATTCTGGCTTCACATCAATATCTGTGCCTTCTGATTCACCGTTAACTAATTTTGAGCCTTCCTTACCAGAATCTTTTGATTGTTCGGTATCAATTATTTTACTGTCTGATTTTAAATCTGCAGTTTCCTTCATTTCGCTATCACTTGAACTAATTTCTGTTTGTTTTATATCTTCCACACTTTTTGACATTGATTGTTCGTCTTGCTTAACATCTTTATCACTTTTTACCGATTCTGTTTCAGATTTTTCAGACTGAATTTTGGAATCAATTTTTGACTCATCCGATTTCGGGCTACTTACATCTTTATTTTCTGGAATATCAGATGTTGGTGATGGCGATGGTGCCTTCTCTTTTGAAATTTCTTCGACTGTTATTTCATCGTCTTTTTTAACAACAGTTTCCACATTCACAGAATGTGATTCACTTAGCTCAGAATAAGATTTTTCCTCTGAAATTTCCTTAACAACTTTTTCTTGTGTTTCATCTGTTTCTGTTTTACTTTCAATTTCAGGTTCTTTATCTGATACAGATGAAGATACGGACACAGGTTCCTCTTTAGAAGATACTTGTTCTTTATATTCGTCTTTTATGTCTGTTGTATCTGATTTCAAAGAATCTGGTTCGTGTACTTTTAAAGATACAGCTTCTTTAGATTCATCGCTTTCAGTTTTACTCAACGACTCACTAATTTCGTCTTTTTTATTTTCATCTACGACTTCAGACTTTTCATTTGTTTCATGAGAAACTGCCTCTGTAGTTTCTTTGGTAGTTTCAATAGTGTCCGATTTTACAGATTCTGTCTTACTCTCTTTGGTGGAAACGATTTCTTCGTCAACTTTTGAGTCTGATTCACTTTTGTCAGTTTTAGTTTCAGTTATATCAGCTTCTTGTTTATCGGTAGGCGTTTCGGATATTGGTAAAATGGATTCTTGTTTTGAACTTTCAGCGGGAATTTCTTTTATATCGTCAGTTTTTTCAATAGTGTCTGGTCTTACAGATTCTGATTCACTTTGTTTAGAAGAAACTTCTTCAGAAATTTCTTTTATATCTATCTTTTCTGGTTCATTTTCGGTAGTTTTATTTTCATCTTCTGGTTTGTCTATCTTTTCAATTATGGTTTCATTGACAACGGTTGAGCTCGATTCATTAAGACTTGATTCAGTTTTAATATCTTTTGTATCAATATTAGTCTCGGCACTTACTTGTTGCTCTACAGGCTGTACATCTTTTATGTCTGACTGTTTCTGCTCCCCCTGCGTCACTTCTTCTATGGGACTCTGCATTTCTACAGGAGGATCTAAAGGGCTTTGTTGCTTGCTTTCTGGTTGTTCTCCAGCTGTTTCTTCTTGTAAGTTCTCCTCTTTTTGCTCTGCAAGCTGTGCATCTCCTGTATCGGATTCCTTCTGTGAAAGCTCTTCTTGAACTGTTTCGGAGGATATTTGGTCTTCCGATGCAACGCCTAAAGGGGTATCCTGTGAGCCTTTAGTTTCATCTGTTGCTGACTCAGAAACAGTTATTTGCTCTTCACTTTTTGTCGAATCTGTGATAACAGTAATACTTTCCTCTTTTTGTTCCATGACATCTTCTTCAGCTATAGGCCTTTCAGGCAGTTCCTTGGTAGGAGATGTCTCAACAATGGCAGTATCAGTTTTATCAGGCTTTTCAATAACTTCTGATTTTACTACGGTTTCTAAAAGTTTATCTTCAGTTTTTTCTGTAATAATTTCAGTTTTTTCATTTGTTAAGGGAATGTCAGTGGGTGTTTTAACTTTATCGTCAGATTTTGTATCTAATTTCGATTCAGTTTTGTCCTCAGAAGCACTTGTTGTAATACTTTGATCAGTTAATTCAATTTGTGTATCTTTTTTATCTGATGTTTCATCAGTGTCCTTTGAGGATAACGATTCGTCTTGTAATGCCGATTCACACTTTACATCTGTAGCCTTTTCATCAACGTGAGATTTTTGTGCTGTCTCTGAAGATTCGGTCGACTGTTTTTCATCTTTCTTGTCCTCAGATGCAGGGATTGACTCAGATACACTTTCGGTAGACTTAAGTTCAGTTTCAATTTTAACTTGATCATCATTTTTAATAGTTTCTTCTGTTTTATTGCTAGATTTATCTTCTTCAATAGTTTTCTTCTCTTCTTCAGATTTTTCAATTTCTTCTTTAGGAGGTACAGATTCTTCACCTTTATCTAATACCGGTTGTTCATCTGACTCGATTTCTTTTATGTCTTTCTCTTTACTTACATCCGCTTCAGTTCTTATTTCTTCTATATCTTTTTCAGGCTCGCTCTGTAACTGAACACTTTCTTCTACTTTTGAAACTTCAGATTCAATAACTTGTTCCTCAATTACAGTTTTATCTAACACAGGTTGCTCATCTGATTTAATTTCTTCAATGTCTTTATCTTTACTTACATCATCAGTCTTAATTTCTTTGATATCTTTCTCAGATTCGCTTTCTACTTTAACACTCTCTTCTACTTTTGAAACTTCAGATACAATGATTTGTTCCTCAACTTCACTTACCGATTGAACAGGTTTTGAATCAGTTTTTAGTTCAGTTGGTTCGCTTTTAATTTCTTCTTTAACTTCAGTTTCTAACTCAGATGATATGCTTTTATAATCTGAAGGAAGTTTTTCATCGTCACTCTTACCTGTATGAGCATCGATTTCAGTTTTGCTATCTTCTTCTTTTGATGTTTCTTTTTCTGGTGATTGTATTTCATCATCATCAGGGGACTTAACAGCACTGTCTATTTGATCATTTGCCATTTTTTCGATTTTCTTAATTTCTTCCTTAACAATAACTACGTGATCAACAGGGGGGTCAATTTCAACATTATCGGTATCAGGTTTTGATTCTGATTCTTTAACGTCTTCGATTTGCTCATTACTTGTTGTGTCTAGTTTTTTAACGGTTTCTAATTCAGGTTTAGTGTCATTAGTGTCGGGTTTACTGTCTGAAGTCACTTTAATTTCGCTATCGTCTGCAACCTCAGTAAGGACTTCACCTTCTGGTGACTCCTCGTGATCTGACATTGTTATAGAGCTTGCAGCATCAGTGTCAGGACTAGCTTCCCGAGGTTCAGGAACGCTAGACACAGGTCGAACAATTTCACATGATGTTACTGGTTCTTCAACTTTCGATACGACCTCATCTTTTGTTGCTTTTTCTGATTTTTCTTGGTCAGTACGCCCATATGAAGGCCTGAATGCATCTCGGTACATTATCAAACTTGCACGAGACCTCCAATCCACCCTGTTAACAAACAGCTGACTTATTTTTAACACTTTATGACTCTGACAAAACTAAACATTTCTGCGTTTAGAGAGGATATCAATTAGTTTCATGTCGTAAGAGTCGTCTAACAGATCTTCAAAGTCATGCTTGTGACGTAATCTTAAGACATATTGTATGAAGGGCACCGTGATATCATTAATCTTTGAGGTATTTAAACATACAGTTTACATGTGAGACTATCATGTTTGTTTCTTTAGATCTACAAACTTAAAATCTACAGTACACTTTACAGAAGGATAAACCATGTAGTGACATATACAACGATTTTGAAAGTTTTTGATAAAAATTCATTTGAAATGGAAATTTCATCTTGAAGTTGAATAATCTATACATGGTTTCTCCACTGAGCAAACTATAACGTTTGAAAGCATTCATAGATCCGTATTTGGCTTCAAATTGAAGATAAATTATATGAAGTGCTCATGAACTGGGCATTTCCGTCTTGGCTTAACTTTTTTTTGTTGGAAATTTAAAAATTCTGTGAATCATCATTTTTTCATATGGAATTTGTTTTTTTATAATTCGTTTAATCCAAAGCAAATGAACTTAATTTCTTAACATGAATTTAAAATAAACGTGATTTATACGAAGCCAAATATAGGTCTTGAACACTTTCATTGCATCCTGAAAAGGAAAGAATCTTTAGAAATGATAACATTTCGTGCTGACCTGAAAACAGTGGTTGAATTTTACAATGACCTATGACGAACAATAAATATTCGAGTTAAGAGTAAATATAAAATTCAGACAAAGAAGCTTTGAAGAGAGCGGACGTAAAGAATTAAAGAAAACTAAATAAATTGCTATCTAAGTATTACTACACCAGAAAGAAGTGCGATTCGGGGATTCAGCAGTGTTATTATGGGGGTAATTATTTTAGCAGTTTTGACGCCGGAAAGTAATGAGATTAATTATATGTACGGGAAACAGTATGATCGTTATTAGATAACTTAACAGCACATTTACAACACTGAAGACACAATGGACCGCGGCAGTATCACATTAGGTAAAACAATGTACCAAAATTGATCAGGATCTAGCCAGATTGTGTGAAATTCTATTACTGGCCAAAATATATTGCGCAGATCAATGACCGCGGAGAATCGGGTCTAATGTTATTCATTTGATACTTCACGCTTTTAAAGTATGGTGTTATGTTATTATAGGTTTATACTAAAGATCGTTTTATTTTTTGTTAATACTATGTACAGCATCCCTAGAGAGTTACCGTTCTTGGCGTGTTTTTACTGTAAAAGCGTATCAATACAGATATTGATTAAACTTCAACCAATTCTTAGATTACGAAATTGTAATAAATAAATGCTTTGCTTATTTAAGCGTAAAACAAAATATATTGTATTTGCTAAACAGACTTTTAGACGAATTTGTCAATTTTGGTAGATTGTTAACCTTTAAAATAGGCATTGAACCCTGTTTTGCCGCGAAAACATGTTTATATTACCATAAATATTTACGCAATACATCAAAATGTTTTTGTTTTGTTTGTATGGCAAGGGTGTAAAACTTATTGCGAATGTAAGCGCACAACTTATAAAATTTGAATAGTCTAGCTAGAATTACAATAAAAACCTATCTGGTATTTTAATTATTTCGCCTCTTTATCGGCATCTTCGCTTTCCTTTTTAGGATTATCTTTTGGCTCTTCTTTAGCCGTATCTTTAATTTCTACGGGCCTATCGCGAATCACGGTTTTTTCTTCAATTCTTCGAACCGACCTGTTTTCCTCGCCTTCCAGCAGCTTCCTGTATGCGCAGATCTCGAGTTCCAACGAGAGTTTGGCATCCATGAGCGTTTGAAGTTCGGTAAGGATGCCTTCCATTTCTGTTCGTAGTTTGGAAATCTCTTCTCTAAGTTGGGTACACTCCATCATATGGTCAGTATCCTTGGTTTCGAGCTCGCGCAATACTTCACTGTACTGCTTCTCGAGTTGTGCATTCTGGGGGAAAAAGTAAATGTGTGCTAAAATTAGATTTTTATTCACAGACATTGCATTATGGGGAAAATAAAATAAACGCGCGAAAAGCAGTAATCTAAACTGATCTTTTATCTTTTGCTGCCTAGCAAAACGGAATATTTGTGTTTGTCACTAAATATAGATTTCAAACATTTCAAATGACAGACATTGCGTGAAAAGCATTCTGCACGTATCTCGGATGTTAAGAAACGAGCTCTCTCCATTATAAAATCAATAGACGACAAAGTATTCAGTTTGCAGACGACATTTTAAGTAAATGTTACATTTATCAGAATAAAGAACTATAATTCTGATCAAAATGTCAGCACTGTTCAATCAATCTGTAAAGCACAGTAATACTTGTCATAGATATTGGGAATTATTTGCTTTTCCAAATACAAGAACGTTGAATAATGATCCCGAGGCAATAATAGAATTCAATAAGAAACTGATTTTCTTATTAGATATACACATTGTCTGTAAATAACATAGAACAATTGTTCCTTCTGTGATTATTTGTATGTTTTACAAGTCTTGTATCTAAAAGCAAAATTTGAAAAGACTTGATATATCCAAAAAGACAGCAAAGGGTATGGCAAGTTTTTAAACTTATTTTTGTTGATCGATTTTAAATTACATGTATGTGAGTTTCGGGCTTATCAGTTAACTCTCAAGCCCCCGTAAAGGTCTAATCATGCAGTTCTTATGTCATTTAAGGAACAGTTGTCACCACCTCAGTAAAACTCAAAACCACGATTCTTAGGACGAAAGACATTTGCAAATAAACAAATGCAGGCAGATCTATTGCCCGTTTCTATGCAGAACGGTAAGTCATAAAATACGGACAGGTACTTTAATACGGACAGGTACGGCGCATATCACTTTCAGTATTTTGAATTTCTATGATGATATTATATGATCTTTTACTTACCCTAGCCTCGAGGTCGGCAAGTTTTCCTCGCATGTCTGACATTTGTTTTGTTAATTTCTTGTTCTCTTCTCGCACGTGGGTCACTTCCATGTTCTGCTTGGTGGCCCCAGTTCTGAATTCTTGTATCTATTTGTTAAAGAATAAATATTTTTATTTTATTATATTTTTCTCCTCGCCAGTTTGGTTCAGGTAACTTCAACAAGAATGTCAGTTAGATGTAACTTTTGTTGTTTTTGTTTTTTTGTTTTTTTTGCCTATCTCAATATGGTTTAAGATAACTCATAGAAATCTCGTTTTAAACCTCGTGTTTGTTTGTTTGTTGTTTTTTCGGAATATGTCTGATGATTAATTGACATTCTTGTTACTGTTTCTATAGTAACAAATTTCAGTAAAAAAAAGAAAAATGATAATCTGGCGAGTGTTTCATATTTTGGAGAAGTAATGTTACAAGTGATTAGGAAAAATATATTTCTTTATGTCAGTGGCAGACGATATTTTAAAGCAAACATATTGCCCTGTCATTGACGTGTGTAGGCCTGTTACCAGTGATACGGTTTAAGTAACGGTTCATCTTTTTAGATACGGAAAGCCAAGGATAATGTTTCTATTATTTCTTTTATAACAAATCTGTTTAAAAACCGAGTTTTATTTCAAATGTTATCGCTTAGAAGGCCTCTGAGGAAATAGAGCTTTAGTTTTATGTTTAAGTGGAATTAACTTAATGTATGGTCGTTAGTATTTAGTTCAATCCTCTTTTTGATTTAATTTGTTTATTGTCTGTGACCTCACATATAAAGTTTTAAAAAACACCTTGATGTTTTAGAGATGTCTACAGATGAAAGATTCAGTTTAAACAAAGTATGATGCAGAGATTATAATAGTTGAAAATCATGACGTCATACCTTGGAACTCAGATAATTGAATAATGGCGTCATGCTTTGAAATTTCAAAGAAGTATATAGATAAAAAGTTATGACGTCATACCTTGAGGTTGTAGAAACCTTCCATGTCTCCTCTAAGTTGGTCGACCTTGGAGTCGTATTCTTGTTGGATGTCACGGATGGCCTGGGCAAGTTCACTCTTCCAGAATTCACGGTTCTCGGCGGTTGTGTCTCTGTAAGCGAGGGCGGCAAGTTCTTTAAGTTCCTACAGGAAAAACAAAGGCAAATAAAACACTTTGTTAGAAATGTTATTATTAAATATTCAGTACTAAATTGGCAATTTCTTTCTGAACAATTAAATATTTCTAGAGTGTGTTTAGAATGACAATAGTCTAACATGAGACGGCTGTAGATGGTAGATGGTATCATAATAGAGTAGATCTATAGATCTATCTTTTTCTTGCAGAAACAATATTTTTCTTGTAAAGTAAATTTAATTATATTGTTAGTTCAAAATGGCATGTGTCATTTCTGACTATATTTTGTGGTACATTGTATATACATGTATGTATTTGTAAAAAAAAATCTAGACGCTCTAGCCTGATGGATAACGCGTCTGCTTTAGTGCTTCATGGCAATGTCGTCTGCTTCCTAACATTTTAGTATGATAGTTAAGAGACTAATGCGTCACATAATTGTTTAATACTAGTAGGTTTAATTAAAATAATGAAAGTTAAATGTAAGTTTCCATAGAAAATTATTACACCATCTGCGAAGTAATGGTAACTGTATTATTAGAAAGTTTCTTTGTCCTCAAAAATAAAACGTCAAGTTTTCCCAATTGGACCAAAGAACAACTGTTCTGTTTATTAAAAAAAATCAAAAAGTCTTGCTGAATTGGCTGGAACTATTTTCATCGCGCAAGGTTATTCAATCTCAGAGGAAATAAAATTCACCGTTATGATTGCCTTTATCACTTCATGCAGATAAGCTGAAGGCAAAATAATTGCAATAATAACATCGTCTGCAGCAAATGCATAATTTAAAACAAAGATAATTTATATATGTATTTAAGTAGTCCATTATTTTCCGCAACGCAAATTTTGTACTTCACAAGTCTATAATTATTAGGAGTGGTAACAGTGTCGTCTGCAAGTGACCTTACGTAATTTCATTCAGCAGACGAGACTTTTGTTAATCTAAAAATAGTTCCTTTCAGAGAATCTATTTCTGATATATTTTCTAGAATTCCTAAGGACACTCTCCTTGATTTTGTCACGTTGCTATTGGTCACCAAATGAATTCGTGTTGAGTATCTGAATAAATATAGCAGATTTGAAAATGTCAAATCTAAATATGAATTCACTGCTAATAAAACGTCTGTATACTATGACATATTTCATATTTAATTTCATTTCCGAAAAACACAAATACATTTGTGAAATACTGGCTTTTTTCTGCCATAGATTGCAAGCATTGTGAGAATCAAAACCTCTAGTACAGTAATTATCTACACGAAAAACAGTTTTTGACATATAAATTCTTCTTGCGATCATACAAGTACAAAATGACAAAGCGCAAAATCATGTCTGCAGAAAGAAATTTAAAAAAAATAGATGAGTTATATGATAGTGCCTATATATAACCCTTATGTACGTTTTACTAGCAGTAGATATTTAACTTTGTTCAAACGTATTCAACATTTTCCTTATAGAAGAGCATGCATAAAAAAGTACTTTAAATATTCATCCGAACTCGGCACCACAAATTTTAATTCGTCTGCTTGCGTGCAATGTTATAACATTTGCAAACTCAAATGTTCGTCTGCTATTAAGTCGGCCGTAAAATTCGACAAGCAAACGCTCAATATCATTAATGTTTGAGTTAATATTGCAGCCATTGAATGTCGTAATACATTTTCAGCTTCTTTGCGGATAGCAATGTTATCAAGTCACGCACAACGCCAATATAAAATTGTCCCAAAGAATCATTTATTAATTAGTATAAGCGTACGTAATGAGCTTTTTGCTTGTTAAGAGTTGTCACCCTTGATGATCTATTTTTAGTATCATTTGTAAAAGAACGATAACCGTATTACTGCAGTGACTATAAATGACTATAATGACATATCGGTAGTACAAACGTTAATTTTAATCAAACTAATAGTGAGTTAGAATAATATGCAAACATTTTGAATTGCTTGTGATGTTACAAAAAAAAATTTGACATATTCCTATTGAGATTATGACGTCATTTTAAGCTATCATTCTAAATCTTTGAGTTCGAAGTAAGTACCAGCATTACTGAAAGCGTCTCATATTCATGAGTGTATATGATTTTGAAATTCGGTTTTAGTTGGTAGAAAAATATGCAAATATGCAATTTTGCATTTTCCATGTTCTTGCCTCACAGATAAGGTGAAAAATATGCCAATATTTCTTCAATTTGTCTTGCAGCCTGTTATCACGGTGATAAATTATGTGAGCCGTGTTACATTGTGATTAATACACGACAATTCTACTGAGGTTTATTTGTTATAAATCACGTTCGAAGATCAAACGTTGCGTTTATTGCCAATTCATTCAGTTTCCGCTTTGCGATTTGTCTGGCATACGCATCTAATTATGCAGTCTGATAATATACCAAGTCAGAATTGGTTCCCCGCACAATTATTGCACATTGTCAGGATGTGGCAAATATGTATCATTTTGAAGACAAATGCAGAAGGCGTAGAATACACAAACAAAAATGGACTTCTTTAAAAATACTTGATGAAATTGAATAATTTTACGAACTATTTCTGAAATAAACGGCTACGTACGGGAACGGTCGATGGAAATTTTTTTCCTATACCCGGATGCCTGTCATAGGAACGCAAGAACATGAAGATAATTCAAAGTTTGAAGACATTATTGCAACATAGTACCACAATACCCAAAAAGTAGTGCGGGTGTTAAATGTAATTATCTTAAGGTGTAGAGAAGCTTTATCCTAGATAACAGGATTCGGTGAATCATTGGTGCTAATGTTCGTCTGCCTATTACCATTGTCATTCCGAAACGCATTTTAATTTAGAATAATGTAACGCTCTAATGATATTTTTCGTCTGTTCCTTAATTCGTCTAACACGTGGTTTCGCGAGAATCAATATGGTGCTGATGCTATTTCGTCTGCCTACAAAATTATGACTGACTCTTATCGTCTGCAAACAAACGCGCTTCATTTGGAAAAAAAATAACACAAAAGGTACCACAGATAGAAGTGTATTCCTACAAATTGACAATAAAAGAAACACTAAGATATCTGTGTTTTACAATGTCAGACGAATTCTTTAATAAAACTGTCTGGAATAAGATTATTGACGTAGCAAAAAGACCATACTGTACAGAGCTTGTTTATGTCTTAACGTGGGCGTTCTCTTCTCTTGTTAAATAAAGTTACTTAGTAAATTTATTCTAAATTATGAAGCTATCTTTGCTTAGAAAGAAAACTAAATGTCAATATATTTTCTTGTAAAATATCGTGTTGAATTTTAACAAGATTAAACAAGTGTGTAAGATACGGCATTGTTTGGCATAAGCACATACATGATTGCAAAGCGTTTGACTGAGTTAGATCTCATACTTCCGGTAGATCTCATACTTCCGGTTAAAATGACATAGATTGCTTTTCTACTTATCGCCTCTAATTAAGTTTATTTTTTAATAAGAAAAGGAAGACACCACAGTAAAACAGATGAAAAGCCCAGAAATCTGGAATCAATCAAATTGCCGGACTACAAAAAATAATCTTGTCTGATTAATCAGTATGTATACATGTATTACTATGCATGTATCCACCCAAATTATTAAAGTTTTTTTCAAAGAAAGAGTTCATTTTAGAAATTCCATTCATGTATGATATCCTATTCCAGAATAATTAAATTCGTTCTGTAATCAATAATCTATACATCCTAATAAAGTAATGATCCGGGTATTGACCTTGAAAGACATCAAGCGTCTGCATGACACAGAATCAATCAGTGAGAAACCTCTGATTCACGCGACGTTTGCAATATTGAGTGGATGTAATGTCACGAAACGAATAAAAATGATAGCGACATTTCTACTCATGTATACAGCTATAATTATGACAAGCCGCTGAATACTGAATGAATCGATTCCAGAAATACGGCGAAAAAAAACATTCAACAAGTTTCCAACATAATAAATAAACTCCCGTCGGGGTTTTACTTCTGGATTATTCAATAGGGATCGATCATGCAATGAACCCATAAATCGAATGAAAAGCACTTTTACAAGCTCAAATGACTGTACATAGATTGTAAAAGTGCCGAAGCGTTTCGCTCTCTGAATTATAAAAGAGGCAAAAGTAATGAAAACTAAAACAAGAGCGTTGCCATAGCATTTGCATACAGGACGTTATTTTCTAGATAATGAATTACGTTTTAAAACTGCCACAGTCTTATCCTGGATGTCTGGTAAAGACGTTAATAAAAGGAAAGTCTACCAGACAGTCGCCAATCCGGCATTAAATAATTTTTGTTGTGAATTGTATCTACGACATTTAAAGTATACTATAGTAATTGGTTTGATCGATTCTGTCGCAAATGCGGTCTCGTAGTTTTTCAAAAAAAAAATCTTCTAAGATCAAAGCATAAAAGAAACAGAGCTAAGAAAATTTAGCAAGAAATGAACTGCTGAAAACACATTTTTACAGTATGATGTAGTCCCATAGCAACGGAAATTGTTTTAGCGCATGCGCAATCCGCGTGGTGTCAAGCGGTTCCAATATGTGTTAGTAAAAGAATCAGTTTACTGTACAAATAAACGGCGTGGTGTATCTATCGCGGCACATGTGTTTTGTATTATGGACATTCTTTAAAGGAAAATTGAATTTCATGTCATTTGGTTTATAACCAAAATCCAAATTCTCAAAACGGTCGCCGTTTGACATTCAAAAACTTTGGTAGCGAGGCTATGGAACGCTATATACGTCATGTTACTTAATATAACTCACCTGTTCATGGACCTTCTTCATGAATTCCATCTCCTCTTCAAGAGTTTGTCGGCGGTTTTCGGCATCAAGATGAGCCAGTGTTTCATTGTTCAAGTCCTGAAAAGACAAACGTGTGTTATTTTACGTCATAATGTACATGTATATTCAAATGATCTGACAATGTACGGTTGATGCTGAAAACAGTAACAAGATATGAATTCATGAAATCGTATAAAGCGCATATCTTGTTTTTTAATAGTAATGATATGCTAAGGTTTTTAAGTTCGATTCTTTTTCTCGACTAATCCTAAAACTCTTTCCCTCCTAGAAAACAAAACAAGATTATTTCTACAATCTGAAATTTTCTTTTCCTGGAAATTTACATTTTTCCTAGAATAAGGTATAAAATATTTTACAAAATCAATTTCTAGCTTTTGAATATTGTTTATCTTGTTTTGAAATAAACGCTTGACAAATTCTGTCTAATTGCCAATTTATGGGGAAAATTTAGAAAAAAAAAAAAATTAAAAAATGTCTAGTCCTGGGGAAATTAATTTCGGACAATTCCAGACGTACTTTGGAAAGGTAATGAAACGAGGCTGCCTTTCACCAATAATTGTGTTTTTCCTAAAGGCAAATGTATACATTGCAATAGTTATTGGTGCAACTAATTTGACAGTATACTATTTACAAAGTGCTTTAGAAATTTTTAACGATGCTGTGAATCAATTTATCTTAAATTAGTCAAGTAGCCACTATGATTTCATGTAACATAATTAAAACAAAAAGAAAAAGAAAAAAAGAAAACAGCAATTTACGCCTTAATGAATGTGATAAATTAAACTAATTATTATTCTAATTGGTCTTTTAAGTTTATTTCACCCTCTTTTATTTTAACCTAACAATCAATTTAGTTCCTTAAACGCCCCGTTTTTTATTCAATAAAAGACTAATTAGTTAGACTTATTTAGCAACAACCAGAAAGAAAATAAATGAGAAATTGTTCGGTTTTCCTATCACATTAAAATCAAGTGAATTTATTTAAAATCTGATACAACTCTTGTTTGGCGGTGTTTATTGATCATGTTCATTTCATTTAAAGCAAAAGTTCATTTACATGTCCCCAGTGCAATCAGAAGAAAGTACATAGGCAGATACATAAAACGTGGAGTACATGACTTTTGTCAAAGCGTATACTTCTCAACAATGTCTGGAAAAGTGCTAATTTATATGTTATTACTATAAATTGCTTATCTTAAATATTTCATAACTAATAAATTTTCGCTGTATTTGTCTCAAGGGACAGTACTCTGAGCGATTTTGAAGTAAATAAGCGCAGTTATAAGTCGCATGGGTACAACAGAGTAAGTAATTGATATGGACTTATACACGAAAATAGACTATGATATAATCAATATACATTTGGTAAAATAAATTTATAAAATCCTTTTTTTATTGTATCTCATGAAAATGTCATATAACTTGGTATTGAACAAAAATATTCCTACATGGATATTACAATTTCATGTAAATTCCCCAGAAAAAAATACACCAGAAGATACAAATGACTTTTGTCTACCAAAATTTAAATAATTATATTCCAAGACCTCTTTGTCTAATGTCAGGATAAAAACCGAGGCATTACGAAACTACGACAATGCGGGGATTTAAATCGTCTCTTTATTATGTAGATCTTAAAAGATTTGTAAGCTTGTGCTCTAGACAGAAATATTTATAACAGTACATCATAATTTGCAAGTCTAAATATCCTTAATCGCCTGACGAACAATTTTGGCTGGATAGATTCCTGAATAACAACTAGAACTGTGTATCTGAGAGAAAAAAATGAAGACCCTTGAGATGAAGATTACAATGGTAAAAAAGTATGGTATTATATCAGAGACTCTGTAAAGCATGACCTAAATTGGTTTGTCGAGATGAAATAAAGGTGAATAGTAATAAAGCCACTCCAAGAAACTGTTTTAAATGCATTGTTACAAAAAATAAAATGCATTAAGTATTTTTTTGAATTTTATTTATTATTATTATTTTATTTATTATTTTTATTTTTTGGCGTGTTCATCAACTTAAGTTAATGATAATCTAGGCAACTGTGTATAATATCGGAAAAAAATACTTTCTTAGAATTAAATAATATAAAAATTAAATTTGATTTTCTTTAATTCTTTTAATCACGTACTTTCCATTTATTATATTTTCATTTACCTGCAAGCTTAACGCGCACGCTATAACATTAAATTTTCTGAAAGGAAGAACGAAAATGAGAAAAATCTTAACAACTGCTGACTGTAGCATTTAATAGTCTCCCACCCCGCACCACATCCGACCGGAAGTTTGCACACCGGAAATCTGTACTCTCAAATCATCTGAACAATTTCCATGATGCTATTCCTATCTTGGAAAAATTCCAAAAGGAAATGGACTCATAATTTGTTATGTAACTGATATTTTCATTATAATGAACGAGATTCTCGTGTTTTATCTGTTAATTGTAATGGAATGTACTGCACGTGCAGTAAATATCTCCCCGTAAATCTGAATTAAAGCATCAGTCTTTTCTTGGAAAAAACCTTTTCGGACGATCTTAAGAAATTGAAACAACTGCTATAAGTTTCACTTAAACGACTTGTCAGCCAGAATAATTATTAACTTAATTAAATAGTTTCCTAAAGTAAATTATGTATTTATTGAAGATTATATTTAATATAAACTGCAATGATTTGATAACAGTTTTTGACAAGATTGTTTGATATACATCGCCTCTTTTGGAGATGAAATATCAAAGTCTCTACTATCCCAGATAGAGGCAATAATTTCGACAGCAAGATGCCACGTATGTACATTGTATGAGAATCAGCTAGACAATCCAATAACGGTTGAATCAATATTGTGCAGCAAGTCTCGCAATTGTGCATCATTTCTCGCGAGAGTTTTGCATTACTTCTCTTAATATTCTTATCGATCTTGCAGAGAATGAGAAGGAAATGTTTCAAGAGAATCGATCTTGGAGGCAACCCGAGACGTCTGTGTATGCACTAAAATAAATCACCCCTGCAGACCCGGCAAAAACCTTTACCGTCAGTTCAAATGAAATGTTAATATCCATCACGCGGGCGTCTGCTGTTTGCCGTAATGTTCCGCCGTGTCCAGAGTTTATTGAGACCAGAAATATTGCCAAAGCATTATCCGTCTGTCGGCTGAATTACTGATATTATTAAGTGATAAATAATGCACTGTCTCAGCTATAATATAAGACATTTACAGGAAACAGATAGTTTGGTTCCTGGCTGGATTATGGGCGATTTACAATATGCATGGGCATGGTAATGAAGTACGTGACATTCGTGCAATATGTAATTTGGCCTGTAACTGTAATATAGACTGAATGATTAATTTTCAGATGCAAGAAAAATGTAGAAATTACGAATTCCATTATTGTTTATGGTAATAATTCGGTTAAGACCAATCTATCAATAAAGGTCAAACAAATATCAAGGATTATCAAAGAAGGTCTACGGAACGTATCCCTCGACAATATCTGGCCACTCGGGACCTTGGGAGACGCACCCAGTAGAGCGCAAAACAAGAAAGATTAGTTTCATTATGTTGTTTAAATAGTTCAGTAAGTTAAAAATGATGGTTAAACTACACTTGTAAAAAATACCTACTTATGATTTTATGCCTTGTTAGTTGGTACAGTGCATCTAGTGAACAAAGTTATTTTTTTTTTCAAAATCACCTGGTTTCCGTTTTTTTTCGATTAAATATTTTCGTGTCCAAATGACCTTTAAGACTTTTTTCTCTATGATTATAATTCTCCTGATAAAACTAAATTCTGGTTCCCTTGACGTAATAATAAGTACTTAAAAATATCTATACCAAATCTTCTTATAAACATCCAATAACGCTTAAATGTTAAGATGAATTCAGTTTCTTAAACGGTGTATCCCTTATGTATTTTTGTAAACATAAAATAACCTTTTAGATTGTTTTATGTGAAGTTTTCTAAAAAATATATCGAGCAGATGATTTAACGCCCGCCTTTAATTCAATCACGTGACTGGAAAAAAGAGCCAATGATTTTGAACTTACAATTCTAAGTTTGTCAACTTCCTGTTGGAGTCTGTTGATGGTTGATTTGTCCCTCTGTCTCTCGGTTTCCAGGGATTCCATTGATCTGCGGAGCATGTTGCACTCACTCTCAAGGTCGGCAATTTGCTGGTTAAGTTTGTTGATCGTGTCCCGATCGAGCTGTCGGTATTTCTTGGACTCATCGAGTCTGAAAAAGCAGAGGAATAGATTTTATTTTCATGAACTATAAATAGAATTTTATGTTTTTGTTGTATCTATAAATAGATTTAAAAGTTTTCTTGTTTGTGGTTGCTATAATTACAATTTTAAGAATATTTTGTGTACAATAAGAAAAGAAGTTCAATTTTTTACCAATTTAAGAATAGTAACTCAAGTTTTGTATTTTATAGCAATTAAGTTCATTAACAAATATACCCAGAAATGAATTGAAAAATAGTATTTGTGTGCTATTCTTGTATCCAATTTCAGTAAAAAGTGTTGCAATGCTTTTCAATTTTTGGTAATTTGTCAGAATTAGAAAAATTATTTTTGAAAAATAATCTAAAAAAAATTGCACACACATTTTTGGTCTAGACGTACATCAAATGGAACATTAATCTTAAAATATTATTTCCAGTCCCATCATGTCAAAAAATAACCCCCAGTGTACTACTCCCAGTAAGAACAAAGTTTGTAAAATTTAGAAGTATAAATATCTCGTCTGTCTGGTTATATATGTATATCTTATTCTATGTTCTTTTTTCTTTGCTTTCTACAATCAAAAGCCTTTGACTGCAAGTTTGATTGTATTTAGATTTATGACTTAAATTAAACAACGTTGCTATGTGGACGTTTCTAAGAATGTGCTTTATTCATTTTCTCTTTTAGTCTGCCCTTTCAAGTAAACTTGAAACTCAAGAAATGTCTACTTTGTAAGCATGATGTTGCAGAAATGTTGCAAACTAATCATTTGTTATTAAAATAATCTTGAAAGTTTTTTTTAGAAACTTAAGGCTAAATATTATACTAGTATTTTGCAAGATTTGCGCTAGTAGACAAAACATTAAAGGGGTGGGGGAGTTGAGAATAACGGTGGGGGCGGGGTCAATGTCTATAGCTCGTTTGTTTAGATTGTTTACGCGATTTGGCGGAGTTTTAAATGAATGGGTGGAGTTTTGCAAACTTTGCTTAGTCATTAGAATCGTATGCAACAGTGTATAGTATTTCTAGAAAATTGTGAAATATAATGTTGTCATCAAAATAGATGCAGTTTGAAACATATCATTTAATTCAACCATAAAGAAAAAATAAATAAGAATTCAAGCTAGCATTGTCATACAATAATTTCTTTGTTTCCTGGCCTGATGATCAGACGTTATTATTTCGATTAAGACAATTTCGACATATCAGTACAATGTCAGTTCTTTTTTTCTAAAGCAATTGAGCACTGAATATAAGCAGTTGATGACGAATCCTCGGGAGTTCTGAAAAGTGATGCACATTAAAAGCTAAATTACTACAACACGTCTTTTAGAATCCGGCAATCAAACAATGCAATTACTACACGGATGGATGATCTTGTATTTAAAACGTAAGGTTTCTAAGTTTATTTCTGTAATAAAAACAAAAAATTATTTATGACCAAACTTGTTCGTGTATAAAAGTAGGCTCTAGAGAACTACTTTATTTGTATATAAAATACTGTCAGTAAGGCTCTTTGTAGACTTTACTTAATTGCAAGCGTCTGTGCGAATCACAGACGCTTAGTTTTAACATCTATATGGTCCGTAGACGCTTGATTAACAAAACAATTTTCTTGGCGCAATTTCGTAACGTAGCATTTTATTTGTGCCCACGAATGGCCACAGTGGAATAGTGTACAAACAATCATTAATAACGTAATGCAATTGTATCGTGAAAGTAAACTTTTAAGTAACAAGCGTAATGCCCAAAGGATTCCAAGTAATGTTTCCAAGGAGTTGCTAACCAATAAATATTATCGCCTGCTTTCTGGAGTTGGCAGACGTATATAGCTGAACTGGCTGTCAAAGAATTCACCCGGCCAGACAATAATATGTATGCAGTGCAAAGAAAAATTCCTGAAAGATGCGACTTTCAAACAAATGAGCAGATGCAAAAATGTAAAAGGCCCTTTATTCCTCGGAAATTATTTTATTTTGAGTTCTTTTATGTCCAGTTATAGTTTCCAAAAAGTTACTCACTGGCCTTTTACCGTAACCATCATTTGTTAGGCAATTAGTCCAGTTATTAGTAGTGATTAAGTATTTTGTATGGAAGTCAAAATACTACTTTGTTTACATTTTGCTACATTTACATTGTATAACAAATAACTTCACATTTAACGCTACCATCTTCAGGTGACAACCATCTAACATTCTTTTAACTTATAAAACTCGTATTTGGCCTTTCTAAAGAAGGGGAAAATCGTTTCTGAGGTATAATATTCCTTTAACATCGAAGACTTCTCAGATATGCGCATTGAGTTTGTTCATTTTTTTCAGAAGGGGCATTATGGAAATCGCATTCAATTAAAAATACAGAATGACGAAACATAGGCAACTGCAACGTCAGTAATAATGTCTGATACGAAAAATTTACTTTATGTTCCTAATTAACTCAAAGATAAGAAATATACTTAATGTTTCAAATGAACCCAAAGAACAGAATTCTACTCTATCATAGATGACACTAATATTACGTCCATTTTTCAACAAAAAAAAATGTGCATCTAATAGTAAAATCCCCCGAGGTGAACAAGAAATTAGCATACGTGTCAATAAAGTTCACACCCTGTCCCTCTACATATATTTTTGTTGGACAGAAATAAATTTGTAACAAAAGTCAAAAGACCGGACCTTTTATCCATAAGCGCTAGATAAATGAGAAAAAATATCCAGTATCTTAAATGCATTTCAACCTACACGCCTCCAAGTGAATATGCATGTAAAGTTTAAATTAATCATAAAAATAATTGACCTTATTAGTACATGTTAACGTTGCCATTATTTCTAGTCCGTACAAAAGCGTTGCTAACGCAAAAATCAATTGCAAAGTTGAACACTTTATTTGTATTTTAGCATGTGATAAATTTGTAATTTGCATCAAGCTGTCAGTCACTATATTTGTACACTTGACTATCAACTTGTCATAAAATATAGCTTGAATCTAAAATATTTTCAATGTCCGTTAATAGATTGTTATTGTTTTTAATCTTAAACTTATAATAGTATCGTGGATTTTAACCGTTTTAATATAAATTATGGGAACATCTTCTAAACTCATACGATCAGTACATATAATATATGGTTTGACAATTTAATCTATGTATTTAATCTAATGAAAATAGCAGATTTGACCCTCTTAAAATTATCGCCAAACTTGTATACACCTGGGAACATAACCCCCAAGATCATGACCTACCTGAACGGTTCGACCATAAAAATTCTATATGCAAACAAAAGCTCTCTGTTATTTCAACCGTTTTATTGCGGTCCCATTAAATATCTTCTTGATATAAAATGCAAATAAATCACATAGTATCAACTTAAATTAAACACAATTTGACGCCTAAATCGAAGCTTTCTTTATCAAATTTCAAAATATGTTAACATTTAACATACACCATTAAGCTAATCTGTTTACAATATTAATGTTCAAATTGCATCAATACTTAAACAGTTATTTTTTAACGCTAAAACTGGCCCTTATTTAGTATCATGGACGAAATAATGTGAACTAATATAAAATTACCGACGGTGAATTCAAAACAGTTAGGACATATAAACTGATTGTCTGTACAAAAGGAAACTTCACCATAAAAATCAACAAAATTGCAATATACTGATTTAACTGTAAAAGTTAATCTAGAATGAATGTTATTTTCTCAGCAAATTGTCTGCTTTTCAAGAGAAACCTGTGCAAAAAAATGTGCGAACATTGCAATATTGCGGCGATTCCATCAAGTGTGCAAACACATATCCGACAAAGGCACTACATAATTTGCGAGAAGTTGTGGACACAGACCTTTTATCTCCGCATCTGCCGTTTGATATATTTGGATAAGATCTTATATGTTTACAACGTCTTTGGCACCAACAGTTAATTATTTGCAGGCTAAATAGTTCTTAGACGGTCTTAATTGTGTAATCCTGCATGCGCCTGATGCCATTTAACTCCAGACATTTATGATGCAAACTTAACTCTTAGCTTGCTTCCGGCAACGGAATATACCAGTGCAAACAGTGCAGACCAAGATCAGCCGGCATGTACGTGTCATCTGATCATTGTCTGCACTCACTAATAGATTATGCTCAATACCGGAAGCATAAATTTAATTTCGCGCATGCGCAAATAAAAACATATCAACCGACAAATGAAAAAGGGCAATACAAGGGCTTGTAAATTCATCGGCTGTTACTCACGAACCTTTTCACATCAGTTATGTATAGAAAATTACTAATCAACTGCTCCCAACAATGAAAGATCTTATTAAATTATGGCTTCTGTGAACTGACTTGTCTTCAGTAATATTGATTACAGAATAGTAAATGAAATATTCGATTCCTTCATGATATCGCAATAATGGGCTTACGCATGAAAGTTGTTAAACAATTTATTACTATAGGGACATGAATAATTCAACGTAATTAGTTTCGTGCATATGAAGCCACGGTTCAAAAAGCATTTTTATTCTTCTTAAGTTACAGTGAAAAATAAATATATCGCCTTTTAATTTCCATTACGAAAGCAAACTTTATTGTAATTAATGAATGATTATAGATAAAAGAAACTAGAAAATCCTTCAAAACAAAACGTGCTGGAGAAAACAGAACGTCAACTTTGACGTCATTGACAACGTATTTTTCAAAACGTTCTCGTAACTTGAGGTCTACTTGTAAGATTTTTAAAATCTAGTCTTAGAAAACCATTCCTAAGATTTTTATACACTGCAAACAATATACACTCAAAGTGTTGACATAATAAAAAAAAATCAAAAATTATTAAAAATCGGTTCGAGTACAAACGTATATGTAAAAGAATAAAGTAAGTAAAAGCTGTTTATTTGTACATTTCAGTGGATACCGGCAAATTTTATCTCGAGGGAGTAATGATTTCCACCTTCAGTCTTTTCCCATCTTTAAATGTTTGAATCTTGTTTATTCATTCCTTATGAAAATATTATAAAAT